GTCTGATTTAGAGTGGTAGACGCATTATGGTTTATATTGACGTGTGATCTTTTTATATAATATCCACACATTAACTTACCTGTATATTAATTATATTTTTTTCTGTATTATATTGAAATGTGTTCTAGCTCATGTCGTCCCAAAAGGAAGATCTACTTACTAGTGCTGGGAGGTGGTTCAGCTCCAACCTCCGTCACTTCCTCCCATTTGAACACCAAGCCAGTTTCGGCGTATTTATAACGTGCTTCTGTTTGTTCGCCACACCGCTGATGTGGTTTACCTATGACGAAACGTGTTGGGAGGGACCAGTGAAATATGACATCAGCACGCCGACCGCTGTGGCCATATTGGATGGTTTGTTGACAACCGTTTTTATATCACTTTTATGTGAGTGCACTACTTTTATTAACCACTCGCCCTCCTGAGGATTTACCCCCGCTTCCTGACCAGGCAATTTTTTGCGTTACGGCACTGCATCACTGACAATTGCACGGTCATGCAACGCTGCACCCAAAAATTAAATGTGTCCTTCCCCCCCCCCACAAAGGGCTCTCATGTGCATTTGATCGCCTGTGCAAATCATTTTTTGCGCTTTAAAAAACAAAAAAAAAATATATATAATTTATCAATTTTCAGGTTTTTTTTTTACTTTTTTGCTCTTGGCTATCCCACCCGAGGTGCAGTGTGTACATCTCACAGAATTGGCGCTGGGATCTTATTCTTTGGGCGAAGATTTGACATTTTCTATTACCGTCAATTTGCCGGCGTATAAGACGACTTTTTGACCCTTGAAAATCTTCTCTCAAAGTCAGGGGGTCGTCTTATACGCCGGTACACATGTTAACTGGGGGCTGCGGCATTAAGTACACCAGGGGTTTGACGCAGGGGCTGATGTCTCTTACCTGGATCCAGTCCCACGACGATCCGGTCCCAAGGAAGCGCGGCGTCTCCTTCAGTATTTTCGGCCACCTGGAATGTTTCGTGCGGCTGCTTCGGTAACTCCGCCTCCTCACCAGTGATTGGCCCACCAGAACTGTAGCTCAGGAAAGGCAACACAGGCGGCCAATCACCCGGCGAGGGGGCGGAGCCAAGCAGCCCCACGTCAAAATTGACATGCCGGAGCAGCAGGTAAGTGTTCTGTGTAAGGTCGCTGCTGCAACCACATATGCTGGAGCTGCAGCAGCACCATAACGATAAAACAGGGTCATACCAAGTCTCAGTGGGAGGAATAGTGCCCCATCATTGGTGTCACTGATACCATACGATGGGGCACTATTCCTGCAGCAAACGATGGCGGCACTATTCCCCCCCCCCTGGACAACCCCACACGACCACCAACGATGGGCGGGGGCACTATTCACCCCCCCCCCCCACCCCTCCCCGACACCACCCACCCACCCACCAGGCACTATTCCCCCCCCCCCCCCCCCCACCACCCCAACACCACCCCCATGGACCCCACTATTCCCCCCCCCGCCCTCCCCATTGAAACCAAAGATGGGGCACTATATTCCCCACCCCCCCACCCCCCCACGACACCAAAGATGGGGCACTATTTCCCCCCCCCCCCCCCCCCAACTGAATGGGGCCAAAAAAATAATATAAACCAACACCAAACCAGATGGGGACACTATTCCCCCCCCCCCCCGCCCCCACTGACACCAACGATGGGGCACTATTCCCCCTCCCCCCCCCCCCCCCACTGACACCAACGATGGGGCACTATCACCCCCCCCCCCCCACTGACACCAATGATGGGGCACTATTACCCCACCCCCCACTGACACCAATGATTGGGAAGCACCATTCCTCCCACTGACCAATGATGGGCACCATTCCTGCCATGAGGGCACCATTCCTGCCACTGACACCAACGATGGGGCACAACCATTCCCTGCCACTTGATACCAACGGATGGGGCACAATTCCTCCACTGATACCAACGCTGGGGCACCATTCCTGCCACGAAAACCACGATTGGCACCATTCCTGCCAATGATTACCAACGATGGGCACCATTCCTGCCACGGATAAACCAAACGTTGGGGCAGGGGCACCATTTCCTGCCCCTGATACACGATGGGGCACCATTCCTGCCCCTGATAACCTACATGGGGCACCATTCCGGCCACTGATACCAACATGGGCACCATTCCTATCCTGCCCCTGATACCAACGATGGCACCATTCCTGCCACTGATACCAATGATGGGCCACATTCCTCCCACTGGTGTGCATTGGAAGAGGTAGTCTTATACGCGATATAGCCCAAACACTACATTATAGCAGGACAAGAGTAGGGGGGTTCCGTCTTATTACGCCGGCAAATACGGTAATTTATATACTTTATATAAGGATTTTATTATTATACCACTTAAGAAGCATGCATCAGATTACTTACTTTCCATTGTTGTATTTGTGGATCAAACAAGTTATTTCCTGGCTGCATTATGGTGGGTTTTATCCTAAGCCGCAGTTGAATATTGGTTTGTATTTTTTAACTGCTTAAGGACCACCCTTATAAGCCGATAAATACTGCTACCAAGGGCGGCAACCTGTGCGCAGGCATCAGTTATAATAGATCACGTCATTGCTGCATAATCCAAGGTAGGGGGTTGCGTGTGCCTTTATCCTACCCGCGCCACCATTCGCAAGCCGCGATATTCAAGATATAACCAAGGTTCCCGACTAGTAAATTATATGCTGGGCGCCCGGTGGGTGAGGAAGATTGTTTGTTGTTAACAAACAACTATTCCTCTTGTCATCTCGAGCACCACTGCACCAGCCATCGCCAAGCAAGTGTGCTTACGGTGAAGCACACACCCCACTCCCCAACTAGTAAAAACACACAGCACACAAGTAACCCCTTTGATTCCCCCAGAATGTTAACACCCCTTCCTGCCCAGTGCCATTAGTACAGTGAGTCAGTGGGCTTTTTTTTTAGCACTATTCACTGTATTAGTGTCCACTGGGGCATTCAGTGACTCCAAGTTTTTTTTTTTTTTAATGTATTAGTTCCCCCAGTGGTCAAAATACCCGCTGCAGTCACCGTTAAAAGTCACTGATTGCCACCAATACAAGTAGAAAAAAAAAAATAATCCCATTATCTAGACTATCCATTTGTAAACGCTATATAGAACGTACAGCGTAAACCCAATTTAACACGTTTTTGTGGGAATTTTTTTGTTTTTTTTTTTTTTAACAAGCAAACACATTGGACAGAATACATTAACTAGCAGTGAAAATTTTAAGACAAATTACATTTAAATTTTTTTTTTGACATTGTTTTAAGCAAAAAAGACAATTTTTTTTTTTTAGGAACAACACATATTTTTGGAGTTTTTGCTATTAAAGCACAATAAATAAAACCGCAACCGGTGATCGAATCCCATTGAAAAGAAAGCTCCAGTTTGTGAGAAAGAAAAAAAAAAAAAAAAGTATATTTTTGTTTAAAAATTCAGGAGCAGCGTCACATGACGCAGCTCGCAACTTTTATATAATTAAGCAAAGACAGTGAGCAGACTACAGTTTGGCCAAAATCTTATGAAGAAAATTTGAACTTAATTAAAATACTTTACTAAGACATGTTTAAAATTGCAAAAAGTTCCAAAATATTGTTTGTGTGATCTTAAAATTGTCAGTCTTTGGATCCGCCTGTAGTGTTTTTTTTTTTCGCTATAAGCACAATCCCACAGAAAATCTCCATTCGTGGAAAAAAAAAAGAAACCATAAATTTCATTTGGGTTGCAGCACTGCTTGACTGCGCAATTGTCCCGTTAAAACACACCGCGCTGTAATGCAAAAAAAAAATTGCCTGGTCGTGGGATCTTCGCGAGGGATTAAAGCGGGAGATGCACTCGCAGTCAAAAAAATAAGTCAGCAGCTACAATAAACACTGTAGCTTGGCTGACGTTAAACAGCCACTTACCTGTCCCTCGGTCCCCGTGGTGTGTCCCCTGCAGGCCCGTTTCACACGGCCGTCCTGGATTCCAGGAGGCCGGCATCTGCATAGCTTGCTTCACAGCCGTGGTACCACTCACTGCGCATGTGCGAGTAGCGCTGCACTTCCTGAATGGTCCTGTAGTCTTCTGGACCTGTCGACGTGTCCCGAAGGACTACAGGAGGGGAGGGTAGAACGACACCTTTCCGTTTCCAATCACCTAGGCGATCGGACCTGAAGCGGGAATCTGTACCTGTCAAATTTGGGTACCCCCCCGCTCCCCCCCCAAAGGTGCCAATCCTTAATGGGGACAGTCCTTAAAGCCGAACATCCCCTTTTGGGTGGAGCTCCGCTTTAATGTCTATCATGTTGGGGTCCGCTTACGAAAAAGGTGGAAGATTGGGGGGAGTGGCGCTGTATGTAAAAAAATAAACAGACTGCACAACTGTATAAAACCCCAATAAGGTCAGAGGACAAGGTGGGGGGTGCTCTTTACATCTGGAGGAAAAGAAATGTAATCTCCAAACACGGAAAGGTTTCTTCACAGTGAGAGCTGTGAGAATGTGGAATAGACTCCCTCCACGCGTTGGTTGTGGCCAAGCTCAGTGGATTGCTGTAGGAGGAAAGTCCTGGATTCTTTCTTGGATACACAGAATATAACTGGATATAACATTTATAGGGAAAGGTGATCCAGGGAATATCAGATTGCTTCTCGGGGGATCAGGAAGGAATTTTTCCCTGCAGGAGTAGATTGGATCGTGCTTTGCATTGGGCTTTTTGCCTTCCTCTGGATCAACTGTGGGTGTAGGATTAGAACTTTTTTTATGGTTGAACTGGATGGACTTTTGTCTTTTTTTCAGCCAGACTAACTATGTAATGCAATGAAATGCGTATTAGAGAATGAAAGCCTGTAATAAAGTACATTATATACTCTGTTTTGTTCCTGTGTGTGGGGTGTCACCTCCTATAAATCATCAAATACTTATCATTTAATAGGAAATAGTCAGACACAGAGGAGGTTTCACTGCTGTTTATTGATCAGTCCAGCCTTTAGGTTATGTTAGATTTTGTTGAATGCGGCAATGTCCACGCTCTGCACCTGAAAACACAAGACAGACAGAGGGGTCAGAATGGTCGAGATCATCACGGTACAATTGTATACAGATCTGCCAAACCCTGTACAAAGCAGCATGGTACCATCCGCCTCGGTTAAGAGCCTAGCAACGCATTTCAAAAGTCATTTCACTGGGCATCACCACGCACGATTTTAAACAGCAGCTTATCGCACTTTACCAGTGTACTACACCACAGATCTATGTAAGGAATGTAGGTTTTATGTGCATTAACCACTTCCCCCCCCCCCCCTTCCGGTCCAGCCGCTTTCACCCCTACCTACCCCTTCCGGTCCAGCCGCTTTCACCCCTACCCCCTCCCGGTCCAGCCGCTTTCCCCCCTTCCCCCCTCCCGGTCCAGCCGCTTTCCCCCCTTCCCCCCCCCTCCCGGTCCAGCCGCTTTCCCCCCTTCCCCCCTCCCGGTCCAGCCGGCTTTCCCCCCTTCCCCCCTCCCGGTCCAGCCGCTTTCCCCCCTTCCCCCCTCCCGGTCCAGCCGCTTTCCCCCCTTCCCCCTCGCCGCTTTCCCCCCTTCCCCCCTCCCGGTCCCAGCCGCTTTCCCCCCTCCCCCCCCCCTCCCGGTCCAGCCGCTTTCCCCCCTTCCCCCCCTCCCGGTCCAGCCGCTCCCGCTTTCCCCCCTTCCCCCCCTCCCGGTCCAGCCGCTTTCCCCCCTACCCCCCCTCCCGGTCCAGCCGCTTTCCCCCCTTCCCCCCCTCCCGGTCCAGCCGCTTTCCCCCTTCCCCCCCCCCTCCCGGTCCAGCCGCTTTCCCCCCTTCCCCCCTCCCGGTCCAGCCGCTTTCCCCCCTACCCCCCTCCCGGTCCAGCCGCTTTCCCCCTACCCCCCTTCAAGTCTAGCCGCTTTCCTACCCCCCTTCAAGTCCAGCCGCTTTCACCCCTACCCCCCTTCAAGTCCAGCCGCTTTTCCCCTACCCCCCTTCAAGTCCAGCCGCTTTCCCCCCTACCCCCCCTCCAGTCCAGTGTTTTATAAAATTTAGCAAATCTTTCATAAATCTTGGCCAAAATGTATTCATCCATTTAGTTATTTATATCCATATCCCAAATTAGTATAACCAAAAATTTAAATTTTTCAAAGTTTCACTTTTAATTTATTTAGTTTTTTTTTTTTTTTACAGTCACCCTAGCAGTAGAGTGTCACCATGGTGACACTGTACTACTTGTGGGGGGGTGATGAAGATTTTTTTTTTTTTTTTTTTTTTTTTTTTTTTTTTTACACAGATTCCTTTTACACCCATAAAGGCTGTAAAAGCAATAACTTCTCCTCTGGCTGCATTCTTGTAGCCACTGAGATACTATGCGAGCTGTGATTGGTCACAGCTTGTCACATGGCACAAGGCTGTTGTGAATAGCCCTGTACCATGTGATCATTCACAGATTTTACAAGTAGTAAGCAATAGCAGGAAGTGACATCTTGTTTAGAGCGTCACTGATTGGCCAATCAGTGATCACATGAATAGTAGTAAACACCTTTAGCCTGCGTTCACATATATGTGGTATATCGCATGTGATGCGCACAGGAACCGCACCGCATTCCTCCGCCAATCACCTGTGATTTGTGTGCGGTGCTATTGGACCCATACATTTTTTACGGCTCTAAATTGCACCGCACCAAAAAAAAACACGCAGGACCCTTTTTTGGTCCGCACTAGAATCGGATCGCATGGGTATTCACATGTGATCAGATTCTGCACATTGCAGCACATTTTGCAGACCGCTTTCGGGGGCGTTCACATACACGCCTGCAGCGGTTCACATGAACGGGGTGCGATTCTGATGCGATTCAGAATTTGCACAGAAAACGCTGAGAATTCCACACCATCAATGTGAACCTTGGCTTACAGATAACCAGCTCAGAGTTATACGGGGAGGTCTGGCGCCAGAATTAATGCTCTCGCTCTCACGTTCACGGTACCTCACAAGTGTGGTGCGATTACCATGTACCTATGCACGCAGGACTTGCATATGCATTTGTAAGCACGGAGGCGCTTTAATATCTCAATTTTTTTTTTTTACACTTTTTTTAAATCAACTTTATTGCTATCACACGGGATGAACATGAGCCGTGACCAGGGGCCCCCGGGCAATAGGTGATCATGGGGCCCGTGTGTCCTTGCCCACACTCAAAGCACACCCAAAAAAGCCTATTAATAAAAAAAAAGTACCAGGGGCATTTCATGGGGCCCCCTACTGACCCCGGGCAGTGCCCAAGTGCTTGAATGGTCAGTTTGCCCCTAGCCGTGACATATCCTCAAAGAGATCTGAGGTCTATAAGACCCCAGATCTCTCCTCTGTCTGATAGGTTGGATTGAAGACCAGATTGGCTGCTTTCCAGGTAACCAAAGTGGCAAAATCACTTCCGGTTTCTGGGGTCACAGAGAAGTAGGAAGTGGTCAGTTCCTCTGTAGTGCAGCTGATTGGACGGGGGAGCCTGGGAAAAGGCGGCGGATTGGAGGTACCATTGCCAGCTGTAAGTTTTGATACCGCCAGGATGCCTGTAGGTGCAAGCATCATCCCGGTATAACCACTTCCCTACCAGGACGTCATAGGACATCCACCCAGGGGGAAGCAGAGGGACGTGGATATTCAAAAAAAATTGGAATGACCACTTTATTCTCTAGTGTTTCTGCTGTCAGAAAATATGTTTGGGGGTTTTATGAAATCTTTGGGGCTAAAAACAGATTTTTGTGCAAAAAAAACACAAAAAGCTGCTCTGGCAGCAAGTGTTAATCACATGACACGCTGGGGACCGTATTTGACGCACAAGGCAGACTAAGATCCGCTCTGTCCAATTTCTGGTGTTGTAGATGCTGCCATAACACCAAATGACATTTAGAGCTGGGATTGGACGCCATGTAGCCTACAGTTCCTGCCAGGACTCACATAGTCTTCAAACTTGGTGATCTCCTCCTCCAGGATATCGGTGCCCACTTTGTCATCTTCCACCACACACTGTATCTGCAGCTTCTTGATGCCGTAACCCACAGGAACCAGCTTGGAGGAGCCCCACAGCAGGCCGTCCATCTGAACAGAGCGAACGCATTCCTCCAACTTCTTCATGTCCGTCTCGTCATCCCACTGCAAGAACATACACATGTTTAACCACCTGTCCTCCAGAAGAGTTACCCCCTTCCTGACCAGGCCATTTTTTGTGGTACGGCGCTTCCTTAACCTCTTGGCACCAGCCGAACGCAAATGTGCGGCCTCCCGGTGCCTGTGTCTGGACCTAGACGCCGAGCGGCAGCACATTTACAATCTGTTAAATAAAAAAAAAAAAAAAAAAAAAAAAACCCACGTGTGCTGAGAGTGTGCAGGGAACATGCTCTGAGCACAAGTCTGGTACTCACAGAAAGGTCCCAATCTCCTCTTTCGATCGGGACCATCCCTGATCTTTCGATCGGGACCATCCCTGATCTTTCGATCGGGACCATCCCTGATCTTTCGATCGGGACCATCCCTGATCTTTCGATCGGGACCATCCCTGATCTTTCGATCGGGACCATCCCTGATCTTTCGATCGGGACCCATCCCTGATCTTTCGATCGGGACCATCCCTGATCTTTCGATCGGGACCATCCCTGATCTTTCGATCGGGACCATCCCTGATCTTTCGATCGGGACCATCCCTGATCTTTCGATCGGGACCATCCCTGATCTTTCGATCGGGACCATCCCTGATCTTTCGATCGGGACCATCCCTGATCTTTCGATCGGGACCATCCCTGATCTTTCGATCGGGACCATCCCTGATCTTTCGATCGGGACCATCCCTGATCTTTCGATCGGGACCATCCCTGATCTTTCGATCGGGACCATCCCTGATCTTTCGATCGGGACCATCCCTGATCTTTCGATCGGGACCATCCCTGATCTTTCGATCGGGACCATCCCTGATCTTTCGATCGGGACCATCCCTGATCTTTCGATCGGGACCATCCCTGATCTTTCGATCGGGACCATCCCTGATCTTTCGATCGGGACCATCCCTGATCTTTCGATCGGAAACCATCCCTGATCATGTGACTGCCTTGACACGGCGGTCACATGACCCTAAACCCCGGCCTGCCTCCTGGCTTCTGAAACCCTTACCCCCTTCCTGACCAGGCCAATTTTCAGTTTTGAGCTATCACACTTTCAATGACAATTGCGTGGTCATGCAACACTGTACCCGTGTGAATTTAGCATTTATTTTGGTGGTATTTATTCACCACTTTGGACTCAATTTACACAGCAAAAAAAAAAAAAAAATCCAATATTTTGAAAAGTGTTTTTTTCTTATCAAATTTTGCAATTAAATATTTTTTCATCAAAAATCTTGGCCAAAATTGGTTATATTTTTAGTAAAAAATAAATAACCCAAATTAGTTTATAACCAAAAATTATTATTTTTAAACTTTTTTTTTTTACATACTGTCACCCTAGCAGTACCTAGCACCATGGTGACACTACTATTTGTGGGGGGGGGGGGGGGGGGGGGGGGGGGTGGGGGGGGGGGGGGGGGGGGGGGTGATTAAGATTTTTTTCACGGATTGCTTTTACAGCCTTTATGGGTGTAAAAGCAATCATTTCTCCTCTGGCTGCATTCTTGCAGCCACTGAGAACTACTGTGTGAGCTGTGATTTGTCACAGCTCGTCACATGGTACAAGGCTGTTGTGAATAGCCCTGTACCATGTGATCTCGGTCATCATTCACAGATTTCACATGTAGTAAGCAATGTCGTCAGAAGTGACATCTTGCTTACTACTCTGCATGTGATCACTGATTGGCCAATCAGTGATCACATGATCGGGACCCTCGCAGAGAGGTCCCGTACAACGATTGGTGTTCCACTGTGTCCGGAAAAAAACAGCAGACACCGGATCGCGGTGTGCACGCTCCCAAGTAGCACACACAAGCAAGGGGCGGGGAGGCAGTTTATAAACAGCCACCCGACCCTGCACTGCCATCCTCCGGCCGTTTACAGACAACGGCCGGACGGGGAAGTGGTTAACCGACAATTGCATGGTCATGCAACGATTGTACATACATAAAGATTTGTCATTTCCCCCCACAATCTGCTTTTAGTGGTGTTTTAAAGCAGTGTGCTTACAGTGAAACACCACAAAACAGCACAGTTAACCCTTTGATTGCCCCCACAGGGGAACCCCTTCCTACTCAGTGTCATTAGTACAGCGTCAGCTTTTTATTAGCACTGAACACTATTGGTTCCACTGAAGTCGTCAGTGACACCAAGTCAGTTCCCATCAGTGTCAAAATGCCCGCCGTAGTCCCGCAATAAGTCGCCGATTGCCGCCATTACTAGTAAAAATTTACAAAAAAAAAGCCTAACACACACACACACTTGTAAATGCTACAACTCACGTAAACTGATTAGTTTACACGTACTGGGATTTTTTTTTTTTTTAGCAAAAACATGGAGCAGAATGCACGTTGGCCCAAATATGACAAAATTAGATTTTGAAAACTTTTTTACTGGCCATGTTTAACCACTAGCCTACCGGGCACTTATACCCCCTTCCTGCCAGGCCAATTTTCAGCTTTCAGCGCTGTCACACTTTGAATGACAATTGCGCGGTCATGCAACACTGTACCCATATGACATTTTTTGTGACAGGTTATTTAAATACCACCAAAATAAAGCTGAGTTTGTTTTTTTTTTTTCCCTAAATTCAGTGGTTTTTGGTTTAAGAAAAAAAAAAAAGTTTTAGTTTGTTAAAAATTTTGTAAATAAGCGATTTCTCCTTCATTGATGGGCACTGAGAGGCTGCACTGATGGGGCACTGAGAGAGTGCTCATCCATGCCACCTATCAGTGCCGCCTGTCAGGCGGCACTGCTGGAGCTACACTGATCATCAGGGCACACTGATGATCAGTGCCCTGATGATCAGTGTACATGTCCCCTCCAAGGAATGCCAATTACCGGCTCTCCTCTGTCAGCGCGACAGCTCGAGAGGAGAGAAATGCCGATAACCGGCATTTCCCTATTTACATGCGATCAGCTGTGATTGGACACAGCTGATCACATGACCGAGCCGACATCTTCAGCTCTTTCCGTGGAGCGGTGATACGCTGTGTCGAGGGGACAGAGCGCACCGCCGATTGCCAGAGAGAACCACCTTGCGCCCATCATTGTACTATATGACGGGCAGGATGCGGTTAATAGCAAAATGTCAAAAAATATAGTTTCTCAAAAATGGTCGGCTTTTTGTTTATAGCACAAAAAAAATGCAGGAGGCAGCCAAATACCACCGAAAGAAATCTCTAAAATTGAGAAGGGGAAGGGGGGTAGACCGGGCATTAAGGGTGATGCACTGGTGTGAACCATGCTTTTACTAACAGATCTCAGTGTCCCATTCCTGCAGGGGAAAAAAAAAAGGAAAAAAAAAAAAAAAAGGTTCGTTCTCTGTAAAGAGCTCTGTGTTGATTGTCAACACAGGGCTCTGGGCTGTGATTGGACACAGGCCGATTGTCAAAGTCCTGGGCAATGAATCATGGCTGGGACCTGCTAGACTCCCGTTGTGCACGCCCTAAACTCACAAACAGGCTGAGACACATTAGTACGTTATTACTGCATGAGCCACCCATCCGCAGTACATTGTGGTCCTTAACCACCTCCCACCCGCCATATAGTAATATGACAGACGCAAGGTGGCTCTCGTTCTGGGAGGACATCATATGACATCCTCCCATTCTCACTGCGCATGCGCTGCTCCGGAAGCGCGCAGCGGTATTGCGCTGTGTCGCTCGGACACAGCAGATCACCGATCACGGAAAGAGGCGAAGATGTTGGCTCGGTCATGTGATCAGCTGTGTCCAATCACAGCTGATCGCATGTAAAACAGGAAATGACGGTTAACAGCATTTCTCTCCTCACAAGTTGTCACGCTGACAGAGGAGAGGAGAGCCGGTAATCGACTTTCTGCAGAGGGGACATCTACACCGATCATCAGGACACTGATGATCAGTGTGCCCTGGTGATCAATGTGGCCCCAGCAGTGCCACCTGTCAGTGTCCATCAGTACCAACCAGTGCACATCTGAGCTGCCCATCCGTATCAGAGCATCTGTATCAGTGATTGCCTGTCAATGCCCATCAGTGCCACCTACCAGTGCCTCCTCATCAGTGCAGCCTATCAGTGTCTATCACTGCAGCCTCATTAGCGCACATCAGTGAAGGAGAAAAATCACTTATTTACAAAATTTTATAACAAACCAAAAACCACTGAAAAAAATAAGTATGTTTTAGTTGAAGAAAAAAAAAAAAAACCCAGAGCTTATTAAATACCACCAAAATAAAGTGGTCACAAAAAAAAAAAAAAAAAATATAAAAATTTCATATGGGCACAGTGTTGCATGACGTGCAATTGTAACTCAAAGTGTGACAGCGCTGAAAGCTGGAAATTGGCCTGGGCAGGAAGGGGTAGAAGCGCCCGGTGGGCAGGAAGGAGCCAGAGCTCAGCAATCAGCAAGTGTGTGAAGTTTGCCATCTGCGCAGCACCGTATGAAGTGATGGAGACCGCGGCTCCAGACTGCAATAGGGAGCGTTTATACTGGCTATGGAGCTCAAAAGCCTAATATTCAGCATTTAGTAGATTGTTTTTTCTAGTCCCCCCCAATACAAGGTCACTACATTAGAGTAATTATGTCAAGCAGGCAGCTGTAGACTCACTGGTTTCACGTCAAGCAAGATGGAGGACTTGGCTATGAGTCCCGGCTTCTTGGATTTCTTCTCTGCATATTGCTTTAGTCTCTCTTCTCGGATTCTTGCAGCTTCTGCATCTTCCTCCTCATCATCGCTGCCGAACAAGTCAATATCATCGTCGTCATCCTCCTCCACTTTCTTGGGTACAGGCGCAGGTCTCGCGGGAGAAGAGTTCTGCTGGGTCCTGGGGCTGGAAACTAAGGAGACAGTTTTAGTAAGACCACGTTCCGTGCCAAGCCAGAACTATATCCAGCAAATTACAACCTGATGTGTGTCTAATGGTCACTAAAGTCTAATGGGATTATTTTTCATACTAGCAGGTCCTCCCGCCGACACCAGCCACATGGGGCACCAGCCCCCCCGCCGACACCAGCCACATGGGGCACCAGCCCTCCCCGCCGACACCAGCCACATGGGGCACCAGCCCTCCCCGCCGACACCAGCCACATGGGGCACCAGCCCTCCCCGCCGACACCAGCCACATGGGGCACCAGCCCTCCCACTGACATCAATGGTTTTTTTTTTTTTTTTACTCCCACTGACCACCAAGCCTATGGCATAGTTTACTCTCACCAATGCCAAATCATTTTCTACTCCCACTGGCAGGTCCCGCCGACACCAGCCATGGGGCGCCAGGCCCCCTCCCGCCAACACCAGCCATGGGGCGCCAGCCCCCTAGTTTACTCTCACCATGCCAGGCCTATTTTTACTCTACCAATGCCAGGGCATTTTCTACTCCCACTGGCCACAATCCCACCTCTAACATTTGAAGGACTGTAAACTGGTCCTTTTTTTTTTGAAAGTTTGGACAGCTCTGATCTAGACAGATGTAACCACTGAGCCATGGTCATGCTAAGGGTCAGGTTCCATTCTGTCACAGTGTGACTTCGGAGCAGCGGAGGGGGAAATTTATGAATGAAGCCATAACTTTATAGACTCACTGCTCTGGTTTGCTGTGTAACAGAATTGATAATAGCCCCCTAAGTACCTAAACTACCATGGGGGGGGGGGGTGATCATGTACAATTTGGATTCTAAACTACATACCTATACAAATCACAGACCCCAGCCCAGGACTGTACCTTGCACACGGGCGGAGGTGTGAGTTCCACTTTTTCTGAGGTAGCATTTTTCTCCAGCACACCGAACCGGCTTTCCAGCTTGGAGATGGCGAGCTGCAAATCCTTCACCACTGTGGAGGAGACAGACGTCAGTGTGAAGGAGTTTCCTCTACAAAACACCATTTCTACAGACACAGGATCCCAGAGGAATGACTCTTCACTGGGTTATTCCCAGTGGAATTGTGCGCAGCCTTTGATATGTGCCTAATGCTCCAAGCAGGCAGCACAGTGGTTTAGGGGTTAGTGCCTTGCAGTGCTGGGGTCCCGGTTCAATTCCTGCCCGGGACACCATCGGCATAGTCTGCATGTTCCATCCCCGTGCGATGGATATGTTAAAATGCCCATTTGGTTTCCTGTTGAATATATACATTTTTCTATACATCTACTTTTAGATTTTTATATTTCTAAATACTTTGTATGAATGTGTTGTGTGTGTATATCTTGTCCGCTGGTTTTTGTAGTTCTCCTTGCTCAAAAATGTCTGCTCAGCAACCTCTCCCATCGAGGGAACTTGAGAACAAAGAAAATATTTCTTTCCAAGATAAGACTTTGAAGGAGATCACGCCTATATTCTGAAAGATGGTTTTCGTGTAAAATGACCAAAGACTAATATAATGCGAATGTTGCGCTGACGTGATTTTTGCATCATTGTGTATCTATAAGCTCACGCTCGAGATCGAGAGAGAGATCGAGAGAGAGATCGAGAGAGAGAGATCGAGAGAGAGATCGAGAGAGAGAGATCGAGAGAGAGATCGAGAGAGAGATCGAGAGAGAGATCGAGAGAGAGATCGAGAGAGAGATCGAGAGAGAGATCGAGAGAGAGATCGAGAGAGAGATCGAGAGAGAGAGAGAGAGAGAGATCGAGAGAGAGATCGAGAGAGAGATCGAGAGAGAGATCGAGAGAGAGATCGAGAGAGAGATCGAGAGAGAGATCGAGAGAGAGATCGAGAGAGAGATCGAGAGAGAGATCGAGAGAGAGATCGAGAGAGAGATCGAGAGAGAGAGCAATAGGAAACCACACACACTTTTCTACACATTTATACATATTTCCTTTTATACTTAATACCATTTCTTTCTTCATATTTATAGATTTTTAGCATGAATATATATGTTGTGTGAATATTTTATGCTTTCTGGGCTTTGTGGTACTTTAAGAAATGTTTGCTCACACGCACGACCCCCTCCCACAGTGTGATTTCGAAGACAAAAGGAATGTTTTTCTTTCTATAAGATAAGACTTGGAAGATCACACCTATACCATGACAGATTGTTTTTGTGTAAAGTGACCAAAGACTAATACAATGCTTATGCTGTTATCACGTGATGTTCGCATCATTTTTCATATATAAACCTCACTGTTTCATTTCAATAAATTAGAGAAGTTTTCACAGACCAAACGTGTGAGTTTCTTTATGTGCGCACATTCCAGAGCAAACCAGCATCATAAAATAGGACAGGAACAGATCAGCGCTGGACAATTCAGTCCTCAACTAAATCGGTGTCAGTGTGGGTTTTCTTTCAAGTGTGTGCCTTACAGAGCCAGCAAGATAAATTAGGACAGGATCAGATAATCACCGGACACTTAGCCCTCACTAAATCACTTGTGTGCGTTTCCTCCGTGTATTCTGGTTTGCCCCCACTCGCTGGTAGGTTGATTAGCTTGTCAAGTCTGGCCCCAGTACATGTGTGTGGGCACGTGGTTGTGCATTTTAGTTAGGGAAGGTAGACCGTAAGCTTCTTGAGGGCAGGGACTGATGTGAACGTACATGTAAAGCGATGTGTTGTGAACTAAAATTGATTTCAGGCATTAATTTAGCAATCAATTTGTTACACAAGTGTAAGACATTCGCTGCACTTCAATCACTTAATGAGGTGAAGGCATCTGAATAATTCAATTTTAACCGTATTTGTTATATGGAGTTATAGAAAAGATAGAAGTCTAAAATGGCCAGATTGTCAAATTAATTTTTGATAGATATACCTACACACTTGAAAAAAAAAAAAAAGTCTTCCCACCCCTTGAAATGTCCCCCATGTTGTCATGCTACAACCAAAACCATCAATGTATTTATTGGGATTGGATGTGATAGACCAACACAAAGTGGCAGGAAAATGAGAAATTGTTTAACATTTGTGACCAATAAATCTGAAAAGTGTGGCGGCATTTGTATTCGGCCCCCCGGAGTCAATACTTTGTAGGACCCCCTTTTTTTAATGTATTTTTTCTGGATGAAGGAAGTGGGGGAGGGGAGAAAGCAGAGCGATGGGTAGGTGACCAAGCCTTTACCAGAACATCCCTGAACATTGCTTCATAGGTCACAGTGAAAAGTATATTCCAGTTACCTGCACTGTATGGCAATCTGAACGCAGGTGTAGTACACACCACCACTGTTAACTTGCACTGAAGGGCCCCAAATTGCTGATTCTTCATAGGATTGCTTTTAGCCCAGGTTCACACTACAACGGTTGCGGAAGTCCCATGTGAGTCGCACAGGAACCGCACCACACATTCCTGTACAAATCACATACGACTTGTATGCGGTGCGATTAGAGCCATACATTTTGTACGGCTCTAGTAGCACCACACCAAAAAAGTTGCAGGACCCTTTTTTGGTCCGCACTAGCATTAGATCGCACGGGTATTCATACTCATGTGATGCGATTCTGCACATCGCACCGTGTTTTGCGGACTAATGTGGGGGGTGTTAACATACACACCCGCATCAGTCCGTGTGAACGGGATAGGATTGTGATGCAAAATTCGCACCGCATCAGTGTGAATGGAGGCTGAATGTTAAATATATAGGGGGAAAGGCAGAAAGAAAGAAAGACGGCAGGGGAAAGGCAGAAAGAAAGAAAGACGGCAGGGGAAAGGAAGAAAGAAAGAAAGACGGCAGGGGAAAGGAAGAAAGAAAGAAAGAAAGACGGCAGGGGAAAGGAAGAAAGAAAGACGGCAGGGGAAAGGAAGAAAGAAAGACGGCAGGGGAAAGGAAGAAAGAAAGACGGCAGGGGAAAGGAAGAGAAAGAAAGACGGCAGGGGAAAGGAAGAAAGAAAGAAAGACGGCAGGGGAAAGGAAGAAAGAAAGACGGCAGGGGAAAGGAAGAAAGAAAGACGGCAGGGGAAAGGAAGAAGGACGGAAGGGGGAAGGAAGAAGGACGGAAGGGGGAAGGAAGAAGGACGGAAGGGGGAAGGAAGAAGGACGGAAGGGGGAAGGAAGAAAGGACGGAAGGGGGAAGGAAGAAGGACGGAAGGGGGAAGGAAGAAGGACGGAAGGGGGAAGGAAGAAGACGGAAGGGGGAAGGAAGAAAGACGGAAGGGGGAAGGAAGAAAGACGGAAGGGGGAAGGAAGAAAGACGGAAGGGGGAAGGAAGAAAAAGACGGAAGGGGGAAGGAAGAAAGACGGAAGGGGGAAGAAGAATTCCAGTCTGTTATTACATTTGACATGAAAAAAAGTATTGCAGTTGCAACAATGTATCTATTTATATCCGAATTAAAAAACCATCTGTATCCGAAATGGATACAATTAGATACAAAGTTGCAACTGCAATACTTTTTCATGTCAAATCTAATAGCAGACCTCCCTGCAGAGAGCTCCGCTATTATATTTGCCGGCTGTAGACGGGACTAAACTGGCTGATTTTTTTACCGTTGGCGGTAACATCGGCCGATTGAATGACCGATCGTTTTTTTTTTGTTTTTTTTAAAAACGTCCGGTTTTCGCCCCATCTATGGCCTGCATAACACCTTGGTTTTCCCTTCCAAAGAAGCCGAAAAGCTTCCGGGCTGTCAACTGCCTGGTGCTCTGTGTTCCATTATAACATTGAGGAGTCTAAATCGGAAACAAGCTCAGACCGGAATCAGGGGTAGAGAGCTGCCCTGGAATAACGTACAGTAGGCTTCAGCACCCTTTCAGATCAGGGGCCAGCACCAACCCCCCGTGATCCTTACCCTTGGAGCAGAAAAAACTGTCTGGTAGGGTGGGGAAGGAGAAAATCTCATTGCAGTTTGACTATGAAGCAAATCATATATTTGTATCTGAAGTTCATTAACCTCTTGACACCGGCCGCATGCAAATGTGCGGCCTCCCGATGTTTGGGCCTAGACGCCGAGCGGCTGCACATTTGTGTGCAATTAAGAAAAACATTGTCCTGAAAGCGCTCCCAGCACACGTCTGGTACTCACGGAAAAGTCCCAATCTTTCGATCGGGACCTTTCCCGATCATGTGACTGCCATGCTGGCGAATCACAGCGGTCACATGACCCTAAAACCCCACCCCGTCTCCTGAAAACCTTAAAGGGCCAGAAGGTGACGGCACCAAGGGGTTAAGAGGGGCCAATGTTTTTCCTCTATGGCCTACCAGTCACAAACAAACACACAGTGCGGCACCTTTATGTAAATGCTGGTTCTCATGTTCTAGAGTGGCGACCCGGGCCTGGAGGTCACTGCTGTCTCCATTGCTGTTGGCGGCTGTGCTCTGGAAAAGTTAAGATAACATTTTAGAGGTAGAGAAAGAAGAAAGTTTTGCTACACAAATACACAGCGTCCTGCCTCTCACACAATGATCATGGCTGAGGGAGAAGATCATCTCTAATGAGTGCCAGCCATTCCCATACCCAAGCTGCAAACAATAGGAGGCGGGATAAAAAAACGGCACAAAACGATCTGCTGAGTGGAGGGAATGAAGGTCAGTTGGAATCGCACCATCACCTAGGGAAATCATACAGAAAACATGCCAGGAACGCTCCGCTCCCTCAAATACAAATTTAACAGGCATCTCATCTAGATTAGGATTTCCAAAGAACAGCTAAGATTCTTTGTGGTTTTTTTTTTAGTTTAGTTTTTTTTTTTTTACATTGAGTTTTAACTAAAACTCCCCAGTCAGTATCACCTCCAGTCCAAATTCCAAACCAAGACCAAAGTGACCGTCCCAAGCCATGATATTTTAGGTGTCACCTGGTGGGCTAAATGACCCTCTTACATCTAGATGTAGTACAGCAGTAAGATCTCTTCCATGCTGCTACATTCTGCTCCTGCACAGGGTGTTTAACCCTTGAGATCAGCGGTCTCCAAACTACTGCCCTTTGCTTGCCTTTTTCTGGCCCTTGGGGTGCCAGCCCGCCC